CCAAAACAGAGACATTGAATCCCCCATGTCGAGTGTAATTACTATCCTGTGGGGGATGCAGAGTCGGGTTATTGCCATATAACTCACGTTCCTGAGCATCAAGATCGGAAGCAATGGCCAAGAAATCAGAGTGAGTATATGGTTCCCGACGGTAGGCTTGTAGGCAGATGTTAGTAGCAGCGAGGCCACACAGATTCGGTGGAGGCCGGTCCGACGGATTTTCTACAGAATATCCTACAGTCCCCTTGCCAAGTTCATCTTCAGATGGTCCCTCGCCATCATATATATATATATATATAAGTGCGCTCTTTTAGTTTGTAGTGATGTGACAATATATATATATATATATATCGTCATATATTACTTCCATCGATAGGATGAGCAAAATCGAATAAATCTTTCGGGCGAACATCGAAATGTACACTACTACGCATCGGGGTGTGTGTGTGTGTGTGTGTGTGAGAGAGAGAGAGAGAGAGAGAGAGATCATCCTATCGATGGAAGTGTATATTTCGATGTAGTAGTGTATATTTGGATGTAGTAGTGTATATCTCGATATTCTGAGGACGAGAGAGAGAGAGAGAGAGAGAGAGAGAGAGAGAGAGAGAGAGAGAGAGAGAGAGAGAGAGTTCAGGGGGGAGTCAGATTGCTGCCAAGGGGAAACAGCAGAGGCAAAGAGTGGGCAAATTTAAGTTGCAGAAGGATCCGGTAGCCGAAACCTCCTAACAGTAGCAGAGCAGGACCTCAGCCTGACACCATAAAACATGTAACTGCAGTTATTGTTTTAGAGAGAGAGAGAGAGAGGGAGAGAGACATATGTCAAAATGTCCCTTAAGGGATATGGGCACAGTGGAATGGCCTTTTGGGCTGACATGTTTGTGTTATGCCCCTGTCAGGTGAGTGTGCAAATTCGCTTGGCCTTTTGCAGTTGCACAGCGTCCGGTACGGGTACATTGCAAAGATGGAGTCCAGCTGATGGCTGGGGTTTTCGCAAAATGTTTTTGTCATCGTCCTTCGCTGCGGTGGGCCCACTTGTATTTATTATTAAAAGACCATGTTGGGGGAGATGATGGGAGTGAGAGATGGTGGCGAGTAGAGGGAGAACTGACATTGATTCCCGCTTGTGTTCTTCTTCTTCTTCTTCTTCTTCTTCTTCTTCTTCTTCTTCTTCTTCCATTCTCCATTCTTCTTCTTCCTTCATCTATTTCTCTTTCCAATCTCTTTCATTTCAGTCGCAAATGAACGGCATGTCTCTTCTGAGTTCTGCATTGGGAGATTTCTAGGATCATAACAAAAACAGATTGTCGCTTGCAATTCCTGCTCCGGGGTGAAAGTTGTGAAACCTCCCGCACCCGCATGTACCTAGCGGATCTATGCACCACAGGTATTCCGATGTCGAATCCCCGCTCACGCCACCCTCCTCTCCAAGGAGTAAGTGATCAGGAAACGTCTCCCGAAGGACTCCAACAATGGCATCCTCACACTTCTTGTCTGTACTGCAAACCCCGCTCCCCGCACCCCCGTGCCCACCACGACCATCAACATCAACAGTAACAACCCATGGCCGACCCAAAGGGGTCAGAATGCCTGGCCAGGGAAAAAAACAAAAAACAAAAAAAACAGGCAGCAACAGCAAGATACAATCTTCTGTGAACGGCGCCCTCCTTCCGCACGCTCTTTAGGCCCTGAACAAACCATGAAGGTAACCCATATTAACACCAGCAAGCCATAGAGCAATTGATTTCACCATAATCAGGTTAGCTCCTACAGGCTCCTGCTACAGGACCACCGCGGATTTGATGATCTCCAACGCAATGGTACAATCATGAGTTCCTCGGACTGAACCGCGGATTTGATGATCTCCAACGCAATGGTACAATCATGAATTCCTCTGAGTGAACCTCTCTTTCTACAAACTGACATCTCTGCAGAAAGAAAAAAACATATATTTTTTCTTTTTTTTTCCCCGCTACAATCACACACGCAAATTCAAAGCTCTGAGCCGTGTTTCACATCCACTCAAGGTATGGCTCCATGCATGTTACCATCTTCGACTCTTATGCATTTCGACCTTTTTTTTTTTTTTTTTTAAGGGTGACGGCCTTGCGATATCAACGTCAGAGAAGTTCAGACTGACCAGCCCCACGGAATTTCATCATCTAATTCCACGTGGGTTCGAACTCAGGCCTTCATTTCAACAGTTCATGGGTGTACAAACTGAGCTGGGCCCGTTGGTGTTGGGAAGTATCTCATTTCGGGAAGAGAATGGATTCAATTTCATTAGTTGGTTTTCTGGGAATTCTATTGAGGTAAGAGATTGCGAAATTGGAGAGAAGCAAATCAGAGTGGCGCAGTGGAAGCGTGGTGGGCCCATAACCCACAGGTCCGAGGATCGAAACCTCGCTCTGATAATTTTACTGTAAAATGAACAAAAGAATTTGGAGGTGGAGGTGACCCTCAGCCAAAATTTCTTTTGTTTTTTTTTGGTTCTTGGTGGAGAAAACATTCTTTCTTTCCATTTTCCATACGCCACTTCGTTTCTGGGTGTTCATACTCTTCACCCTTATCAAGATCTACTCGCCTTCCTTATCAAGATCTAATCACCTTCCTTCCACCACCATTATCACACCAGAGAAAGTGGGCAATGGCCCCTACCAAAGGAAAAAGCACAAAAGATTGACGTACAGCAGCCCCCTTCCACTCCCCCCCTTAACACAAGTGGTTAACGGGGCCCCCCACTTTCAGCTCCTGAGTAGCGGGTCGAAAACTGAAATTAGGGCTTGAGGGTCAAATTTTATGTTTTTTGAGGGGGGGGGGGGGGGGCTGTTTTTGTTTTGGTTCAAGGTTGCTGTGKGCCAAATTTGGTATCATTTGGGGCATTGGGTTCAAATGGCCTCTGGGTTTTGTTATAAATGGCATGAGAAGTGGTCTGAAAATCGAGGCCTCCGTTACCCGCCTCTCCATCATAAAGGCACAAAGACAAATAAAATGTCCTTTCAAAAGCAGCTTCCCACAAACCTCTTCCCTTCTATACTATACAGCACACAAGCAGCATAATAAAAGAACTCAAGGAGATTGTTTGCCAATGACACAAACACCACCATCAAAGGGCGATGGTCCCTCGGGGCTGCTGTGTGACTTCCTAGAACAATCACGCCTGTTCACACATCCAGAGACAACATTTAACATGGCATAGCAATTGATCAGTCCTCGCATTCCTCTTTCGCTTGCTTCATGCCTTGGATTTTCCATGCCTTTCTTCTTCCTCGTCATCCTTACCTTGCCTTTGCCGGTAGGTTGCTTGGCACAAGCTAGCTCCCCCCTCAACATCACCTATCCCTCCATCAAAAATATCACCTCCCTCGATGTCTCAAAAGCTCCTCAGCATCCCGACAACCCTCACGGGCATCCCCTTACAACCCGCGCGTCGACATCCTCAGCACAAGCATGCCACCGTCAAGCTTTTAAGGCAGGCTACCACCGTTGGGAACAGGGCGGTCACCAACATTCAGCCACTTCCCCTTAAACCACCAGTACTTGGCCCATATATCGGCCGCGGGCCTTAGCGTTAACGCTACGCGAAGTTCGCGCTTCGGGCAACCGGACCTGGAAGGCTGGCGCCGCCAGCCTTTCCGAAAACCAAAATCAAATTGGCGCTTCGGCGGGAAACGGCGTGCAGGGCACTTCCAGGCTCGGCTGCGATATAGCTGGGCCAAGTACTGGTGGTTTAAAGCTCCATAACCCAGATCATGCCATTCTGCTCAATTGGCAGCCTAGAAGAGGGGCAGGTTGTTGCTCGTATCACATCTTCTAGCAGATTTTCGGTTTTAAATTAAAAATAAAATAAAAAAAGATGGGCAGTTTTTTTTTTTTTTTTTTTTTTTTTCAGAATCCTTTTACTATGTTCATCTGATTGCATCTGGATTCCAACTTGGGTCTGTATTTCAAGAGTTCATCAGGTGTACCAACTGAGCTAGTCCCCTTGGTAATCTGGGCGGTTTGATGAAGTCCTTTTCTTTTTTTTTTTTTTTTTTTTTTAAACAACACCCCCTGCAGTGCTAGTGCTGCTGGTAAAAGCAGGCAGCACTAGCACCCGGGTTGAGGCTCCATCTATTGGTTTGATAAAATCCTTGTTCACGAATCTGTGCAGTTTGATAAGGTCATTCTGCTCACTCGGCGGCCTAGAATCCAGGTTTCACCAACATTCAGGCACTTCCCATTTTTGAAGGTTGTTTGTACCGGTGCTTTTTCCACGTTTTTTCACTTTTTTTTCGGCAGGGGGAGTTACCCCCTGCCAGGATAGCTGGGATGGGTATCCCCAGCCAATTTCCCAATTTCAAGATCTTTCAATAATATCAATATTCCTCAACTCTTCTGAAATTTCCCAATTTCCTATCCCCACTCCATCCATCTTGACCATGAGCCCCAGCACTTGGGAGGAAGAGAACTCACTCTGTTACCAAATCTGTCGAGCCTCCCTTGTAGGCAATGTTCCTTGGCTTGTCAATAGCTTCCATGACCACCTGTCACATTAAGAAATCATGAACCAGAACCGTTGCTTAACCGTGAGATCCCAATCCTCAGTGGCTTCAGTACGACTTGAGCTGAGGAGGAAGAGAGAGAGAGAGAGAGAGAGAGAGAGAGAGCAGAGAAGATCATCTGATTGATTGATAACCATTAAGATTATGAGCTTATGAGCTTTCGAAACAGAGTGCCAATTTCTCCTCTCAAGAGGAACTCTCAAGAACTGCAAAATTATCCACTGGGCGCAAGCTGTAAACTGCCGCACAACATCCCTCTCAAACTACGCAGTGCATTCCATCCGACATAAGCATCTGGATAATCTGGAATGTGCCGGGGCATGCCCGCAAGACTTAAGAAATGCATAGGAAAGAAAGTCAAATTCACACCAGAGAAAGTAATCCAAAAATTCATTTGACCTAAGGTTTCTAGACATTGAAGTCCAGAGATTTTGCCTATCCAATAGTAGAATCCTGCGAATAGAGTGAATACGGCTCGCATAGAAGGTACATAATGGACGTGTGCTACTACTCTCCCCCTCCTTCTTCTTCTTTGTGTCTCTGTGCAAGAAGGCGTCATTGTGGTTGTGGCCTTTTTCTGCCACTTCCATCCACCAAACTCCGTGGCAAGTGCTCTCCGTGAAACACCAGATCCAAAAAAGTGTGTCTAGCAATTGGCATGGTTCCCATCACGCATTGGAGTCTGCGGTCACTCCGCTGTGGTTTAAAAGTAGGTTAACATCTTCGGAGCATCCCTCAGATGTGAGGTGGGAGGAGCACCTTCACATCCGAAGGCTTGTGTGTGGCCAGGTCCCACTAGCATAAGAGGGTTGCATTCAGCGCCTGAATCTGGATGGGTTTTAAACAGAGATGCAGAAGAGCAGATCAATGGCCATTTTCTGCACCTCTCCACACGCACATCCAGATTCAGGCGCTGAATGCAGTCCTCTTTGCTAGTGGGACCCCTCGCCCCTGCTAGATTGACTCTGCTCCATTGGTTGGGGGGGGCTGCGCCTGCTGGAGAAGGGTCCAGCACCCGAAGATGTTCACAAAAAAAAGAAGCAAAAATGTAGTAGGCCAAGATTCCACGCCCATCTGTTCATCTGCACAAATGAAATCTCGGCAGATTCCACTGGCATCTTAACCCAAATACAACACCTGGTCATTAACGCTGTATCTAGACTGAATGTTGCCCAAATACAGCTATAATGACCCCAGCTGTTCTGTTCAGGTGAAGTCGATAGCACCTCTGACCTTCGTCTTCTTTTCTTTTCTTTTTTAACAGAAAACACAGCCTTGGGGCCCTGGCTCCTTATCCATTATGAGGAGTGGAAGCCCGCGGCTCCTATTCCACCGGCAAGTCATGTATACACCATGAACCCACACGAACGCTACGCTTCTCCCCTTTATGGTAGGAAGACAGCAGCAGAAGGCATTGATTGCTTCCAACGCGGAAGGATATACCACCCCTCACCCCTGCCTAAGTAAGTCTTCCACCTCTAAGCTTTCAGCCTGCGATTCCGCGTCTGCTGGGTCTGTTCTACAGCCAATCTCTTATTCTGTGCCTGATGGGAGATCGGCCACGGTGTACATTGTCCTATTTGCATTGGGTCTTTGAAACTTTCCAAGAAGAAGGTTCCCAAGAAGGACTCTGGCATGGACCCTCCTAGGATGTCAAAATTAAAAACTGTTAAAAAGTAAAAACCGTAAGAGAGAGAGAGAGAGAGAGCCTGGAGGGTCCCTCTGCGGCAGGCTGGCCGAATCGCCACCCTTGGGCAGCAGATGGGAATTCAGAATCACTGTGACGCCCAACCTCACGCCCAGCGCGACTTCCTGATCGGAGTGGGATGTGGGCCTGGAAGTGCGAAAAGGGGTGTGCCAAGGATTTTTGGGAAAGTGGGGGAGTCTTAAGGGTATGAATGCAATTGGGCGAATAAGGGGCGCGTGCGCAAGGGACTCAAGGCCCGATGGGGCCGGGGTACTGTGGGCGACGGTTTACGGGGAAGTCCCTCCGGGGCGGAGGCGGTCCCGAAAAGTTGGGCCGTCGGGGGCCGCCACGTGGCGCAGGCCGCTGAGTATTTGGGTTGGGCCTTCGGAATTCCGGGGTTCTCCGTTCGCCGCCACGTCGGCAATTTCCGCAGGGCGTGTTGGGCCAGTAGGGGGCTATGGCTGGCCACGGAACGACGCTGAGCTGATGATACGGGAGAAGAAGGCGAAAAGGAGGGAAGCTGGTGGTGATGACGACAAATCCCGGGTGGGTGAAGTAGTAGGTATGGTCGGGGGATGGGAAATCAGAGCACCGGGGGTCGCTAGAGGTGGCGCAGTGGAATTCCCGCAGACATAATCGATTCTCCGTGTGACAGGGGTATCGCAGCCTTATGAGCTCGTTTATCCAAGGGGTGAAATAATCCGGGTCGTAGGATGAGTCTGAGCTCCAAGATCGCGTCATGGTATCATCGTATATGGGATAACTCTGGTTGGGTTATCGTCACCACGCACGAGCGCGTGCAAGACAGGCGAACTTAGTTGCGCCTCAACGTGCTCGTACGGGATGACGGTTCCGCCGCGAATCTCTAAGGGTGGGCGAATCGACGCACGGGGATGCGTGTAATGGCGCGATTCGGATCGCGTTTACACGTGTTCTCGCGCGGCGTTCGCGGGGCCAAATTCTTATCCCATCTACAGTTGCATCAGATGTAGGCAAAGATTCGACAAAAACAAAAGCAAGGATAAGGATTCTCAAAAAGATAGACAAGCAAGCATAGCATCCATACATCCATACATTCAGCAGTCATACATAATGCAGTCGAGAAGGACATCGCAAGGACGAGTGTGAGCAAAAACCCAAGTCCAGATTCCAGAAAGCCGAAACGAAAATAAGAACGGGCAAAACCGCCCGGAGCCGCAATCAAAATGTATGTACACAGATGAAGAGGGGGAAGAGACAAAGAAACAGCAAATCCGCGTCCATCGACCTCAACTCTCTCCTTCTCTCTCTCTCTCTCTTCTCCGATGCGGACAGTCCGTCGTCACGCACCAACCCACGAAGTTGTCACCCCGCTTAGTCCTCCCGCACCCGTCAGATTCGCCCGTGCCCACAGTCCGCCGTGGCCCACGTCAATCCCGTGCGTTCGGCACCAGCCCGTCGGGTCGCCCAACTCCTACTCTACTCACCTCTTACTTCGCTTGTGTGCCGACCCTTCCTGATCGCGCAACCCCGAGCTTCCAACAACGGGTTAAGAGAGTTGACTAATCGCGCAGCCGAAATTTATAGCGTGCATGCATGCGCGAAGAACACGGAATTACCAGTACTTAGAGTGGGGATTAGAGAGGGAGCGCCTGCGTTCTGCATGATCGGTCGTAACCCTTCTCCATGCATTGATCCGAGCATGCAAGCCGCGGCTTACAAAAATTTCGGCAAAAGAAAGAAAGGGAGGGCGGGAGAGACGACGTGCAAGAAGAAAGATACAGTTACAATGGCGCCCGCCCAAAATTACAGTTGCACACACGATTAAGGGCGCCTACTAATCAGAATACCATTGCAGCCGCCCGCCCAAAATTACAGTTGCACACACGATTAAGGACGCCTACTAATCAGAATACCATTGCAGCCGCATAAAGAAGCGCATAGACAAAAGGCGCCGCGCGGCAGGAAAAATCCTAATTACTGAATTCCTAAATTCCTATCTAATGCGAAAAAGCAAAAGGCACAAATTCCAAAAGGAAAGTCCGAAATTCCGAGAACCATCGGGGCTCGACAAAATTCGAAAAAGACTCAGAAGAAAAATTCAAAAAGAACGAAGCAATTTCCCGCGCGATGTCCGCGCCCAAAAGATCGAAACTGAAACGAAAGAAACGACATCATCTTTTATTAATCGCGCGCGCGGTGGCGCTCCAGACATCCAGCCATCTATCCGACCAATCAATCATCCGGCCATCCTAGGACACACCCAGCTCGAACCCAGTCATGCGAAAAGTAGCGACGAAAAAGCAAGGACACTGATGCAATTTTCCATCGATCCCGATCTCCCGTAATTGGCCCAAGCTTCCCAACTTAGGACCCCTCGTTGCAACCGCGTAGAAAATCGCGCGTTGCAGAAAGTGGTTCGTCACATCACCACTAATCCTACACCTTTCCTACAGAACCCATAACTGAAAATTTTGCAGGACCATGCCACACCCACCAAATTTGCGAAATGGTGGGTAGTGTAAGGAGGAACCCCGTACACTAAAGATCAGATACGCCCAGGAAAGTAAATATAGACCTGGTCAGCTTTAGGTGCAGATCCGTGCTTCCTGCACACAAACACAGCCCCAGCGAGGGCCTGGTTCCTCTTCCTAACACTCTGGAAAAACAGTATGCCCTATGTGCCAAGTTAACATGAATCTAGTCAGCTTGCTTCCTGAGCACAAACGCACCACATGCTTCCTGAGTGCAAACACAGTACAGGTTAGGCCGTGGTTCTTCCTCTTCAATGAGGCATGGAAAACACTTGTATGCAGCGTCATAACCAACAGATTTGCGTCGTAACTGTCCAGGAATAATAAGCGGAGAAGGTGGGTACCTGCGAAAGGGCTAAGTTCTATAGGGGGGTCTCGTAGGGATGTCGTGCGTGGAGGGATGTAGGGATTCAACTGCAGTGGTGCAGGGGTGGGGTCAATATCACCACTGGTATGGTTCCACTCTCGAACACTGAGTCACGGCTGCAGTGGTTAAGGCGTCTGGCCATTGAGTGCAAGATCGACGGTTCGATTCCTTCCAGGTTCGACTATCAGTTGTTGGACATACAAACCAACCACGTATGGGCCCCCCATGTGTCCAAGGACAAAATTAGCCTGGTCCCAATACACTTGGCAATCTTCTTCTATCTCGCTACAGATCATGTAGTTGGGCATCTGCACATCCAGATGCACTCTGAGAGGGCTGGGTTAGGAGGCCCTGGTGTCTGCGCATAAACCTAAGGCTCTCCACCCATGGAGTGCCCATTCAAGGCCCCACCCAAAATGATCCTGCAAGGTAACCCCGGAACAAGGGACATTCCGAAGGCAGCGCCCATGAGCCCCACAAAACCCCTGCGCGCTCCAATCCCCAAAAGATCAAGAGAGTTCCCAAACTAAGCCCCTGCACTCCCTTCTCCAGATCTCATCCCCAAAATCCAACCGCTGCCTCATCCCCAAAATCTACCTGCTGCCAAGGCCCATCCTAAGGCTTGTGCTCCACCGACTTACTTTGGGGATTTTCCCCAAAGTATGAGAGGCTTCACCGCAAAAACGCAAAGTATTTCGCTGATTATTTCATCACAAAGCGCCCTCTTTTTCCTTATTGTCAGTCCAGGCGTCCATCGGCAGCTGTATTGCTCATCAAATGGAGAAGGCCGAGGACGACCTCTTTTCACAAGTATATGCTACAATGCAGTCGGGTTCGACAAAAGGGCGGGCGTCTGTGGAAGATGTCTGCTGTTGTACATTTCTTGTGGGGCGCCCCAGCTTTAACGGTCCAAAGGTCGAGGACGATCTCCTTTCACAAGTATTTGCTATAATGCATTCGGGTTCAACAAAAGGGCAGGCGCCTGTGGAAGACATCTGCCGTTGTACATTTCCTGTGGGACGTCCCACCTTTCGTGGTCCAGTACACCAAAGGACGGACGACGGACGATGAACGACGAACTTAGGAGGTCACGTAAGTTAAGACCTGCACAATAGTTAAGGAAAGTCTCCGAAATAAATCCAGTGCAACGGCCCTTTGGAGGATAAAGGAAAACGGAGACTAAGTCCCATGAGGCGGAGTTTAGACTTGGTTTCAAGTAGGCAACGGTTCCTGCCACCCGATCCGAACATCTCTACGCCACACTGCAGCCACGTTGAAAAATACTCGAAAGGAAGACTAAACCCTCGCTAGTTGGCCTTCACCCCTGGATATTGTTCAATCACCGAAGGTGATCTGCCTCGATGTAGTGTTTCACCACTCTGACTAAGGCCTTGCTGGTTTTGACCAACAGCAGGCAGAGGGCCAACGGCCAGTCCGCATTGGCCTGCTTCCCCAAGTGCACAAGGCAGAAGGGCTGCAGTGTATGCTTCCCCGAAAACGACCTCCCTTTGAGCCTCAGGAGGCTTGCATTACAGCTCCTCCAGGCACAAGGTGGAGCAGGACATGCTGGACACGAAGATCCAACTGGTTTGTTTGATGTACCTATTGGAAGTCGGAGAACCCATAGTACCTGCCTAACCCAAAAGGGACCTAGTAATAGGAAAGCACTGACAATCTCATCAGTAATCGGGAAGCTTAGGGGTCTATGCATCTGCACAATGCAGATTTCATTCTACCACATAGAGACAACTCCCGCCTACCTTCTTCCCCCGAATAAACGTACAGTCATTATGGTTGTATCTGGGCTGAAAGATGCTTCAAATACAGCTATAATGACCGTACGTTGTATTCGGGGGAACAAGGTAGGGGGGAAGCGTCTGCTCTTCATGTCCAACTTGTCTTCTGCACTTCGTGCCTAGAGCTGTGATGCAAGCCTGAAGCTTCTGCTCTTCAAGCCTCTATATTTGAGCCTCTATGAATGGGCTGCGCTGGCGCAAAGAGGGAAGCAAAGGAAGACCTTCACATTGTTTGAATGTCCTGTGACCTGGGGCCTATTCACACTAGACCTTTTCAACTGAATCTAGTCATAGCCAGGTTCATATACACCCAAGAAAAGTCTTAGTGTGAGTAGGCCCTTGAGTCATACACCCCAAAAAAGTCTTAGTGTGAGTAGGCCCTTGAGTCATAGTCTCATGGCCCTCGGAACCACCCTAAACACTCACAATCTCAAAACCTTGTTGGGTCACATGAGCCTCCCTAGCCAACCTAACATACCCTCAAATTTCTTTCCTAGAGTCCGAAGCTGCTGCGGCAACCCCAAAGTGAGGGACTCTCCCTTATCCCCGCCAATGCTAGGTTCGCGCGCTAGATTCACGAGCTACCGTCTTCACCCGAATAGAACGCCCGGTCATTATAGCTGTATTTGGCACAACTCTTGGTCCAGATGCAGCGATAATGACCCGGCGTTCTATTCGGGTGAAGACCCTAGATGACGCTAGATTCATGGGCTCCGGCTAGATTTGCGAGCTAGATTCGTGACCATCAAAAAAAAGAAAGAAAGAATGTGGACGGCCACAGCCTTCTCTTGGGGCCAGATCCCACCTGCAAAGAGGATTGGAATAAGTGTCTGAATCTGGACGTGTTTGTGGAGAGGTGCAAGAAACCGTAATTGATCTGCTTTTCTGCATCTCTGCGTGGAACATGTCCTGATTCAGACACTTATTCCAATCCTCTTTGCCAGTGGGATCTGGCCCTTAGTCCCCATCAAAAAAAGAGAAAGAAAGAGTGGACGGCCACAGCCTTCTCTTAGACCGCCCCCCCCCCAAAAAAAAAAAAAAAGAGTCGTCTTAGGGCCAGGCCCCACTGGTACCACGTTTGGGAAAAGAAAGGATACTTGTCCATGTGACCGAGCAGCCTGCCGAAGGAAGAAATTGTGGACGAGCACAGCCTTCTTTTAGGGCTACGGTAGCCCCTACTGGTACTTCCTTTGGGCTAAGAATGCAAGAACCTAGCCGATTTTCATGACAGATCCATCCCTTTCTAAGCACGAACATAGCACCAGTGGGGACTGGCCCTTGTCATCACGAAGCTGGACATGTTATCTGACCGTGCAGGCCCGCAGGCCCGCAAGATCACAAAAACCCTTTTTCCTCAACAAATTCCTCCCGAATATGTGGACTTGGTAGGCTTGCGGGCCTCCTTTTTTTTTCTTTTTTTGTTAGTGGTGCTGATAAGAGCAGACAGTGCACCTGGGGAGAGGCTCCGTCTATTGGTGGGAAGCAGCACCTGCTGGAAAGCGGGTCCAACGTCCCTTATATAGATGTTTTCATCCCTGTGAGTGAGTCTCTACGCCTCGAGAGTCGAACCTCCTCTTTTTTTTTTTATATATGTGGTCAGATGGACCACCCCGGATCAGATATTAAACTGATCAGAACAGATACTACACTTGATCTTAGCCAAAAGGCCGAGAAAGGCATAACCTTCCCTTTCTCTTTTATCTACGTAAAACCCATTCAGTGCAGGGTATGCAAACTCGCACCAGCAGTATTTCGACTGAAACCGGTCGTAATAATGATCCAGGAAGGAAAGTCCTACCCGTCTTCCCCCGAAAAGAACGTACGGTCTTTACTGCTGTATCGAGACTGAAAGTTGCCCCAAACGCGCAGCTATAATGATCGTACGGGTGACGTGACATTGAAGGAGCTTTCCAAGATTATCTGTCCTCAAAAAAAAAAAAAAAAAAAAAAAAAAAGATCGTACGTTCCATTCGGGTGTAAACGAGTAGTGCGAGTATGCTGCCCTAAGACTGATGCTCCCCACCGATACCATTTCCTTCTCCTACCCCTCTCCCCCTTTCTTCTTCTTTTCCCCGGTAGTTGCACGAGGATTATGCCCTCCTAAACCTGATCCATCTTCTCTACCAGCACCATGGTTGCTGCCGTTGCATACTCCCCTACGGCACGAACAGGAATGTGGCAACGCCAGTGCCTGGCAGAGGTCTGTTCTCTTTTTTTTTTTTTTTTTTTTTTTTTTTTTKTATGGGTCTGCATTGTTTTCATTCACGTTGTTTCTTGCCGAGTGGACAGTATTCAATAACGCTACCCGACTGGCGATAACAAAATGAAAACAGTGGGGGGAAAGGAACAAAACCTGAAAACAGTGAACAGACCTGCCATGCACAGGAATCTCAGGAATGCGACAACATCAGTGCAGCAAGCTCCTCCTTGAATACGACGAAGATATGACTCACGCGGTCCACATTCAGGTATCCAAAGATCACACAGGCTTTCTCAAGGTGATGGAGCGACATACATCCACGATCCATTACATCACGAAAGCGCTCTCTCTCTCTCTCTCTCTCTCTCTCTCTCTCTCTCTCTCTCTCTCTCTCTCTCTCTCTGTGTGTGTGTCTCTGTGCGTGTGCGTGTGCGTGCGCGTGTGCGTGTGCGTGTGCGTGTGCGTGCAAGCGCGTGTGTGTGCGTGTGTGTGCGTGTATGTGCGCGTGTGTGCGCGCGTGTCTGCGTGTGTGCGTGTATGTGTGGAGGGGGGGCCATGTCTATCGATCCATTTTTCAGTGTCAATGAGAAGCTGGCAGGAAGATCACGAAAGGAACAAGAGGAAGGAAACTGCAGCTGAGGAAAAATGCGAAACGTCGGCGAGTGACATGGCCGATATTCGGAGAGGTCATGGGAACGGACAAGAGGAGCCGACAGTCGAACCCACCTCCGCGCCTTTCCTTGCCGCCATCTCCGCGCACTTGAGAAGCTCGTCCGCAGGCACGCTTCCCTGGTTAACTGCGCCAATTTTTTTCGCAGCCCCCGTCACCTGCACATCGTAAGACGCAGCAGCACCAGAGAAGGACGCCATGGCTTTGCACATCGACCCGCCCATGCGCGGCATTTGGTGTTGTCTCTCAAGAACGCCTTGCCCCGCTCGTGCAGCATGTAACCTCCCCGCCCCGGCCCCGAATGGAGGGACGGAGACATCCTCTCCCTCCCGACCTCCCAGCTGCAACGTGGCAGCCAACCCGCCGCAATGAGCTGAGGTCAGCAATGGACGGAACTCGGGCGACACAGTTCGCGCCACGGTCGCCGCGCCATGACACGATAGACCTCGAATACCAAGGGAACGAATTCCCGCCGAGCACGATGCCATGGCGGGTCGAAGTCCTTGGTTCCCTGACCTTCTTCAGCGCGTCCGCACGCACGGGATTACCTTCTTCAGCGCGTGCGCACGCACGGGATCAGGCCACCGTAGCAAGACAGGACAAACGATGCTATATTTGCGCGGGAGCGTGGATCGCGCGGGAGCGCGGAAATCCCAGTGAACGATCAGAATTGTACGACTTCGCCGCCATATTTGGTTTCGTTCATTCGTATCAACCTGGGGCACAGGGGGTCGTTAGACACTCCTTGTGGACCCGAAATCCACAAGGAAGTGCTCGTTCCACCTGTCCTCGGGGACGATTCGCGAAAAAAAATGTGAAAACAGCACAAGGAAATTTCCTTGTGGCTACAGCCAATTTCTCCTAATCCTAATGGCATCCTTGTGGCTACAGCCAATTTTTCCAATTCCCCAAGGGACCTCCCGAGGTCCCTCGGAGCACATGGAAGCACGAAATTCGGAGCGGCCAAGGCATCCCTCCGGTTTGAGGGTGGTCCAGACATGGTCCACCGAACGGGAGCGTGGACATCCCTTCCCTCCACCGTGCGGGTGGCACCCCAACGGCTCCAAAAGGTCACTGTCCGCGTGAGGCCTTCGTCCGTCGAATGGGGCGTCGCCGGCCAATGTCATGTGGTCTGCTGCACTGGGCGATTGTCGACAACAGTCGGAAATTCGAATGCTTATCCGCGTCAGCGCTGTGTTCAACGACGACAGTCTTATTTGGGAAAATCGCCGTTTTCGTCGGTTGTCGTCATACCTTGCACATCAGAGCACAGATCTTCCCTCGCTTTTTCTTTTGTCGACGAAGTTCTTCGCTGGACGGTCGACCACTGATGTGCGGCTGCTGCCCTTTCCACAGCCCTTACATGGCCAACCTGTTGCACAGGCTGCCTCTACTACTCCTTGTCGTCGTGCTGCTTTTCATCGTTGTTTGCTTCCACTTATGTTTCATCGGCCTGCTCCTTGTCGCGGCTCGCAAAAGGAAATCTTCCAAGAACGGCGACAGGATGGATCGACGACTGACCAACGGCAGACCGGCAGGCACGACAACAGGAGCGAGCAATCGGCAACGCACTGCGGGGTGTGTGGCGAAGCAAGCGTATGACCCGACGTTGTATGCTCACCTGCCTTCGCATGAGATTCCTCTGCCGTCGTCAGATGACAAGGGGGAAGACGTCAGGTCGTCGACTGTGCCGTTGGGAAGTGGTTCCACGCAGGATTGGGCGGTGACGCAGTCCTACGGTGGCAGGCGGGCAGAGACCCCGTGGTCTTACACTTCACTGTTGAAGGAGGGGTTGTGCGTTGACGATCTCAATGCAGCGGTCGATCTTAGCTTCCAGTTGTCGAGCAGCAGCGGAGCAGCCGCGACACATACTCGCATCATCAATCCCCACCCAGATGGGGATTGCGTGGAGCACACGATGGTTGGTCTGTGCGGGGCGCGAGAAGGCGGCCTACCTCAATCACTTCGCGAGGGCGAGGGGAATCGAAATGTGTCCTCTAGGCATGGCAGAGGAGGAGACGGCGAGGATCAACGTCCGGAATGGATGCGCTTATCACCAGCGTCGTGAAGCGGATCTGGGACTCCGCGTGGACGGCAGCGATAGGAGGACGCATCCGCGGCAGTTGCGCACGTAGAACGTGACGGCGGGCAGCTGTGGGCAGAGTACAGGCAGCTCTTGTGTCAAGCTGAAACGGACACAATAACGAGAGGGGTGCAAGGGCTCCACGTCGACGAAGGCGACAATGCGGTTGTTCAGGAGCCCCTCGACTTTGACGGTGACGACGATTGCAACTCCGGCGATTTGCCTGAGATTAGGCCGCTTGGGAGGAAGGTGAGGAACGGCGGTGCGAATGCGAGGAAGGGTTCCACTCCGAGAAATCAGAGGAACAAGAAAATGGACGACGACACAGGTGGGAGCGATGGCAAGGGTGCTCGAAATTTCTGATCCGTCGGAGACACGATCGCACTCGTGAGGGCGAAAAGGGATCAAGATTTGTATTTCACAGGCATGGGGCACAATTTCGGCCGCATGAAGACCAGGGAATGGAAGTGGGAGGATGTCCGGTCCAGGTTGCAGAAGATGGGTGTCACGAGGAAGGCCGTCGATTGCGGGAAGAAATGGGACAACTTGATGCAGCAATTCAAGAAGGTTCACAAGTTTCAGCACCTCTCTGGTGGGAAGGACTACTTCAAGCTTGCTTCATTGGCCAAGAGATCGGAGGGCTTCAACTTCGTTATGGACCGGAGCGTGTACGACGAGATGGAGGCCATGACGAAGGGAGATCACAGAATCCACCCGAAGAATTTGGCGGAGACGGGGGCGTCGGGGGGGGTTTAGATGCCGGCAGGCACTGGGGGTGGAATTCATAGGCAGTGAGGGTAGAGGGGAACCCGTCGACAAGGAGCAGGGGTCGACGAAACATTCGACATTCAGCATGGGGAGCCCTGGCGGTTCCGGGAAAAGGAAGAACATACGGCAACAAACCTTTGAGGTCGTCGTCGAGGTCATGGACAAGCATGGTGCGCTCATGGCGAACACGATGGATAGCGCGAGCAAGTGACAATGCTCTATGATGTTACGGCAATGCGAAATCCTTGAGAGCGAAGTAAAAGTGCAGAGGAAACATTATGCTGCGGCGGATGAGGCGAACAGACTGATGTGCAACGCCCTTATGGAGATAGCGAAAGCCATCCGTGAGAGATCATGACGACACTGCTGTTTAATGTCAATTTAGTGTCATGTCTCTCTGTCTACTGCAACTGCGACGATGCCGACCTCTGTGTGTGTGTGTGTGTGTGTGTGTGTGTGT